GGGGGGGGGGGCGTCTTCTGAGCCTGCATGTTGTGTAGACTTCAGTCGGCTCTGGAACTCGGCTCTAACGGGCCTGTGGGCTTTGGTCTTCACAGCTCCTGACGGCCCACCTCAGGAAGTCCACTTGGAGCCCATCTCATCTCAGAGCATCAGAGTCACCTGGAAGGTAAAAACACTTGCATTCCTGACGCTTTTTGCGCGGGGTGTGCCCTTCACTCGTGTTAAGTGGTAGGATGCTGAGGCACTCACATTTCGTACAACTTTTGTTTTGCGAAATGAGATTAACAGCCCTTTTCTTGAAATCGAATATGCGTATCCCCATTTGGAACACTCGTGCGGCCGATTCTGTACCCACAGAGAGCGAGGTCGTTTTGCCTTGTTTCCATGCGTGGAATTTGATGGAGTCCTAAGAGCTGGTCCCCACACAAAGAATGAAACAGATGTGGCCGGCGCGTCTCATTTCTGTCCGGTGGGGCGGGGGGCTTTTTCTAGTGGCTTTTCTCCCAGCGGCACATCATAGACTGGCACAAAGCCCACTGAGCTGGTGGAATGGACCCCTGCCGGCACTGTTCCACCAGCTCGCGGTGTCCTGGACGGTGCCCATCACGTCCCCTCAGGGAGCCAGGTGCCATCCTAGGCAGCAGTGACCGCACGTGGCCACAGGTGCGGACCGGCCGCTGGTCAGCCGGTCGCGGGGAGACACAGCTTGAGCGACAAACTGAACAGCTGCCCACTCGGCACAGTTTCGTCCGGCTGGCATGTTTTTTCCTAGCAAAGCTGTTGGCGGAGGAAGCGGAGTTGGTGAATGTCCTGGAGCAAGCCGGTCACAAGCAGCCCATTGGGTGCACTGCCCGACGTCACTAACGTGGTGGGGGAAACTGTCTAGGGGATTAGTCATCCCTCGATGTGCTCTTACCATTGATGACTGTAGGTCCAATCCCTTTTATCCAGAATATTCTTGCTGGAGCCAAACTTGTGTAAGTTGCACTGGCTCTTCCGGCTCTGGTTTCCCTCCCTGCGTTCCATCTCAGAGGAGAAGTCGACAACCACAGCGGGGTCCTTAAGGGGCTCGCCCCTGAAACCCGGGAAGACCTAACTCATCACACCTGCTGTTGCTGTTGTCCTTCCGGTCCCAGCTCCTTAGAAAAGTGAGCTGCGTCCATAACACAAAAGGATCCTCGTTGTCATGGTGGTGTTGACGCACTTTAAGGCCACAAGCCCTCCTGCGGCGAGCTCTTACATCCCCTAGCCAGTGCTGTGGCTCCGGGGGACAGCAAGCCAGGACCGTTTAGCCGGACGGACAGTGCAGGCCAAACAGCGTGGGACGGGGATGGTGTTTGTCGCTGTGAGCACGTCCGCCAGCTGCGAGCATCACACACTGTGTAATAAAAGGCACTCAGCAAGCCATAACCCCGTACGCATCCCGGCCATGCTACAGACGGAATGCTGACTCACTCGGGCTCAAAGGCTCTGTGAGGCTTCCTCCACTGGCCCTGCAGTATCTCACACTTTGCCACCGGAAAACACCAGCTATTCCTGTGGTCCCTAAAGCGTTCTGGTCCCTCATGAGAAAGATGTCTGTCCACAGAGCTCCTACACCGAAAAATGGAAACTTTTGAGACTTTAAGGGGCATTGCATCCTTTCTGTCTCTAGAAGAAAAAAAAAGCCAAAGTCGGTAAATTGCAGTTACGTTTCTTCCTAGTGTCAAAAGAATGACCCATGTTGTGGGCTCTTAGAAGAAAGCCTTGCTTCCGTTAGGTCATGAGCCGGTCGTAATGCATGGTTCAGTGTTTTCCCTCGGAGCAGCGGGCCGACGTTGTGTGGCCCATCAGCACGAGGACGGGTGCACAGGTGACTTAACAGACCGAACGAGGTAAGGGCCGCCGTTCGCTGACTTGGCATTTCCTGTTGGCCTGATTATGTAATGGAAGTGCTTCCCCGATTCAACTAAATTATGCTTTTATCTGCAACCCAAAGTATATGTAAAGAATGATACATTGCAGAAAATATGCCTTGATGTTATTATGGTGTAAAAGTCCCAGATTTAGATCTTGTGTACGGAGACTGATCAGAAAAGGGAAGAGAGAAGGAAATAAAGAAAGAAAGAGAAATCACATTTCCCCAGAGAGGGAGCCCCGCGCCAGTCAGCGGGATAGAAATCCCCCAAGTTGTGAGAGGACTGGGCTGGACACTCATTCAGGGTCACGGGACAGCTGACGTAAGTAGAAGGTGAGCTCAGTGCAGAGAAGACAGAGGAGAGAATAGCCCTGGGGCTTTGGTGGGAAGACAGCCATTTTAGGCTCTCGACCTCTTAAAGGTCGGGGGCACTTTGGCAGCCTTTCTTTAACCCTGAAGCTGGAGACTAAGTTCATTTAATTACTGTGTAAGCAGTGCTTCTGTGACATGCCCCTTCTGTTGAACAAAATAAACAACACGGCTTTCTTTTTTATCCACCCATGTCTTTCACCAAAGAAAAGTCAAATTTTAAAATTTTCAAGTCTGGTGAAGTTTCCCCAGGGCCAACTGAATGGTCTACTCATAGGGCTCGCCAGGCCACTCAGCACTGGCTGCAGGCTGTCACCCTGCTTTCCTCCAGTGACAATGGTCCCTTAACGTGCCCACAACTGGCCTCTGCCTCCTCCTTGACGGTCATGGCCAACACCGTTTGTAACGTTCCCCCTTCTGCCTGCTCGGTCCCTCTGACTCGACTCTCTGTGAAGATGTGTGCATCTCCGAAGTGGAATTAATTATCGGAGCGTCTGTGCCACCCTCACTCTTGGTGACAGCTCAGTGAGACCCCCATCACACGGGTTCTACGTTCTGTTCTACGTTCTGTTGTTCTGTGAGCTCCTGAAGGTCAGGGAGTGTCTCATCCATCTTCGGTCCCCAGTGACTGGCACCTTGGCATGCATGAATGAGTGAATGAACAAATGATTGGCGGAGGACATCTGTGAGCTGAGAATGATGAGGTCCATAGCATAGATGTTCCATATCACAATGGCCTCTGAAGCCTTCCATCGTTCAGCACCTGCCGTGGAGAAGGCACCCCAGCTATGAGGAAATCCGAGCCTCAGGCTGTACTATCATGAGGGTCTAACCCATGCTACAGTGAGGTTCTCCCGAGCCTACCGTGGGAGGACACCCAAAGATGTGAGCCCTGCTCTGTGGGGCAGACAGACGGCCAATGGGCTTCTCCTGTAATTTATTGAAAACTGAGTGGCCATAATGGTTCACAAATTTTGTGATAGGTGTCAGAGGAAATGGCCCTTTGCACGTCACATCAAATGTCAGCCTTCAGGCAGATGTCCGAGAACCAGGGCCATATTAAATCGGGCTTTTAATACTTTTACGTATTTGGAATTAAATAAAAATGCTGAGCAGCACCTTGGCAGCAACTCTAGAGGTAACATCAGTGGTTCTAAATAAATAAAAATAAATGATACTAAAGGTTCATTTTCTAGCTCTGGCTCCCCCCTCAACCCTTTAAAGAACAGAAGGGTCTGCAGAAGCAAATACAATTTACTGCATGTTTTTGCTGGCGTTCCTTAAAATCAGAACAAATATGTAAAGCTACCAATTATTGATAAGAGATTTGATAAAGGACCTGCAAAATCATAAAACTTAAAGGAGAATTCTTTGGTTTGTCAGAAAACTGCGGTTTCAGTCCGTGTCCCTAAGTGTCAAAATACCGACGGAACAAGTCTCTTTTGAAAGTGCCCATCACCTTCTCTTCTGGCCAGTCTCAGAATCCACGGATTCCATTTTATTGCAAATGCAGGACAGTTTGCCCGCTATTTGCATGTGCTTATAACAGAAAACCTTAAGCATCTGGAATATTTAACTATCACAGGTATTTTAAAACACTTCTCCAGAGGATGCAATTTAAGGCAGAGGTTTTTTGTTTTTTTGTTTTTCCTATTGACGTAAATATTTCCGTTTGTTTAAAACGAGAAGTCCGTTTAGAGCCGCAGGCCATCCGAAAACTACGGAATTTTCAGCTGTTTCAATATTGCCGTGCTAAAAACAGCTGTCAAACTGATGACTCCAGAGAGGTCCCTGAGAATGACTTTGCCACTTTTCTTGCCCCTTCTGTGTCCACCCCTCTGGCTGGATTTCATTTAGAATGAACAATGTTGGAAAAGAGACACCTGATTTCCATAAAATATGAACATCGCATATTTAGGGGGTTAAATTTCAGTAAGCTGAAGAATGCTTTTAACCAAACACCACATCTCCACAATCCCCAGTAATTCCCACTGATTGAAGCACCACTGCAATCTATCTATCATATGTTTCTGAGATGAGCTCTTCCAATGAGAAAATGGCTTAGCTCGTCATTTAAAAACAGAACTGCCTTCTTGCCAGTGACTTTCATCATAATGATTTAATAAATGGCAGGTTCCCCTTGACTCCTGCATCTAAATCCCCCTACCCAGGAAATGGCTTGCTGTGTTGGAAAAGACAGCCTTCTAGAACAGTATTCCCTGGCTGGGATCCCTGAAGCATTTGCTCTCTACCAGGCATTGTGTTCAATTTTGCATACATTATGCCATTAGATCTGTGTATCGAGTACATCAGGTTTTGTACAAACTCCTGACGTTAAAGGGATTTGCCCAAAATCTGAGGGCTGCGGACTGTCCGCTTGAGGACCCTCACGCAGCTTTTCCAACTGGTTTCTAAGCAACCAAAAAGCTAAGGTACTTGAAATGCCAAGATTGCAGCTTGGGCCCAAGTGAAGTTCAACAAATATTTGTTTCCTGTCCTGTTCCTTCCAACCTCATGTTGTAAATTTTACCCGACATTAGTGTTAGAGGAGAGAAGAAAAATGTAACTTTTACCTTCTCCCTCTTTCTTTCCAACTGTAAACTTGAACCTTAGCGTAACTGGACCAGTAAGTCAACACCCCTTTTTCCAACATCAGTTGAAATTGAAAAGGGTTGCCTTGAAATTAATTTTACTTCATTTCTTGCTTCTCACTTTAATCCTCAGGCTATGAAAAATTGCAGAATTTACATTGCTTAATCAATTTGTTCTAGAGTTGGATTTACAGCAGCTTTATTAAAAATCCCGATGACCAACATGTGTTACAAATATTTAAGTAACTATCAGCCCTTCTCATATTAACAAGCCAGGCTCTTTCCCCTATAGTAAGAGAAGAAAAATCC